TATCAATGTAAGCGTCTAATGAGAGAGCGAGTGCATCTCCTCTGAATTAGAGTATGTCCATGATGCGCATTGTACGTCTCTACTATATGAATGCAGAGGAGTGTTTTTCTCTCTATGCAGATGGACCGACGTCCATCGTATCTCGCCTTGCCTGCTGCTTGTCTTTTGAACGCTCGTTGGCTACGATCATCCATGAGAATAGACACTTTAAAACGCCGAGAGAGATGCCTACGGTTATACTTGAGCAACTTTTCAATAAGGTCGACATGGGTGAGAACCATTCTCCTGCAGCAATATCGTTCCAGTCCCAACTCGGTAAGGGCATCTCTGTTGACACAAAAAGAGGCCATAAAAGAAATTTAGTGCCGAGACAAGGCTATTAGAGATAGTACGCACCCTTCGGTCGTTCCCTCTGCCAGCAATCTCATGTACTCTGTCCATTTATCACCCACAACTTTCCCGCACGTGAAGCAGCGCACAGGGATGATCTGTAGAGATAAAAGTCAGAAGGATCGGCCAACCAAGTCTTCAGTATAGATCAACTTGCCATTATGGTGGGTCACAAGTGGCTGACCAAACTCCGCTTTTGATTCAGTCACGCCGCAAAGCCGTGGCTCTCCTCGAACGAACCGTTCGCAATACGGCTTACACGGTTATGCCAGACATTTTTCTCGATTTTAATTTCAAGTCGCAAGATCCTTTGGAGCGTTGCATTCACATGAAGCAAGAAGCTTTGACAAAGCCGACGGGGCATTGACGTAAATGGCTGGACGTGTGCGCCACGGTATTCAAACGATGCAAAGCGGAGAGTCGATTGACAGCTGGAAGGAGCGAAGAGTGATGACTTCAGTGACGCGGGTCCAATGACGTCTACTCGTCTCCAACATAAAGCAGCTTCAGGGGGGCAACAAATACTGTGAGACTTTATTATTTTCTATATCTCTTCTTGAACTCATCCCCATCTTCTATCTACATTTCCCCCTCCCCGACCATGTCTGCTCAGCCATACAGGTTTGTTCATCGTCGTCTCGTGCGCGCCAACTGGTTACTGACGACAGTTTGCTCCCGCCGCGCTTGTCTGGTGTCACCTCTCGTTACGAACAGCGAGCGGAACCCCGTACCTACCATTCAGAAATACGAAGAAGATAAGGAAAAGCAGGAACAACAACTCGAAAATGAGATCAAGGAGGAAGCTCCCGACAGTCACGAAGTAGAGGAAGAGGACGAGGATAAGAACTTGACCCAAGGGCAAAAGGAGAAGAAGGAAATGATGGCAAAGATGAATGCGAATCAGCAAAAGCCCATCGAGCAGGTCAAGAAACGAAGAGGCCAACGAGTCGTTGACGACCCCGTCACAGGCGAAAAGGTAATCATCAAAGACGCCGAATTCAAAGGTATGAAAATTTCTTCATCATTTTCAAAAGGCCCTTCTTTACTAAAACTATTCCCAGACTTTCCCTCTCAACAGCAACTCGATCCCAAATCCGGCGTGCCTGGTCCAGCACTGACTGGCCTAAACGGCGCCGCAAAGAAACTATTCCACCAATCTCGAACAGCCCCTAATCCGGCTTATCCTTCCAATATTTCGCTCCAGCCTTTCCCACCTTCCACTCCACCGTCTCTCGACACGATTATGTCATACTTGTACTATCTCGAATACGGAATCATCGGCGCAGGATTCCTCTTGTGGTTCTTCTTGGCCTTTGGACACGGTTTTTGGGTATTCCTCTTCAGGAGTATCTTTATCAGCGCACTGTGCTTTGCCGGGTCTACGGTGGCGAGCTTGGCTCAGCGTAAATTGGAGCGCGAAGTCGAGAGGGTGCGGTATGACATGCATAGGCAACGTAAGCCTCCTTATCCCAAAGAGGTAACGAATGTTCACCAATGATTCCAGGTGGAGAGAAATTTGCACCTCCTACACCCGAATCGGTAGAGTGGCTCAACGCGTTCACCAAGGTCATTTGGGGCTTGATCAACCCAGACATGTTTGTTCCAGTTGGTAAGTTCGAATCCCCTCTCTCAAGGGATAGTTGTTGATAAGGATCGTAGCCGACTCGATTGAGGACGTCATGCAGCAGTCTCTGCCCAAGTTTGTAGAGGCGATTAGGATCTCTGATATTGGCCAAGGCACCAACCCCTTCCGTATCATTTCTATGCGCGCGTTGCCGGACCAACCGGGGGAAAAGGAGTATCCGCGTGAAGAGTGGATCGACCAGGGTACCAACGAGCTTATGGATGCTAGTGAGAAGAGTAAGGGTCAGGATATGGACCAGGCCGGTGACTATGTGGTATGTACGAACGAAATAATGCGAATTTTGGTGACCAAGTACTTTATGGATAGAATTACGAAGTCGCCTTTGCGTATCAAGCTCTTCCTGGTCAAGGCGACAAACTGCGAGCCAAGAATATCCAGTTAGTATCCTACCTCGCTATGGAGATCTCTTGACTAAATGTCTACATATAGTCTTCTTCTCGAATTCTTCCTTGGGTTTGCGGATTGGGTACATATTCCAATTCCTATCTGGGTCCAAGTCGATGGCGTCGCGGGCACTGTCCGTCTCCGAATTCAATTCATCCCGGAGCCACCCTTTGTGCGCAACGTATGTCATTTCTCCATTACTATACCTTCCATTTCCTGACAAAGGCCTTTGTAGCTCACGTTTACTTTGATGGGAGTTCCAGCTGTGGATGTCTCGGTCACTCCTCTCATCAAGCGCCTTCCTAACCTCTTGGACTTGCCTTTGATCTCCAAGTTTGTCAAGATGGCCATTGCTGCTGGCGTACGTTTCCTGGACAGTATGTTTGGATAAGATTTGCTTACCAATTTGCAACAGACTGCATCTATTGTTGCGCCGAAGAGTATGACTCTGAATATCCAAGAGTTGATGAGTGGTGCCGCCATTGGAGGTGTGTTCGAATCTCGAGGAAACAGAAACATCTCCTCACCCAACCCCTTCGTTTAGATACTCGCTCCTTGGGTGTGTTCATTATCCGCATCCAGTATTGCGAAGATCTCTCTGCGCAAGATAGGAATGGCAAGTCGGACCCCTACATTGTCCTTGCCTACGCCAAGGTTCGTTACGGGCTCGTTCACATCGAGGAATGGAAACTGACACTGTTGCTACAGTTCGGAAAGCCGCTTTATAGCACCCGTATCATTCTTGGCGATCTCAACCCTGTTTTCGAAGAGACCGCGTTCTTGTTGGTTACTCACGAAGAAGTCAAGGCCGATGAAAATCTCTCTGCTATGCTTTGGGACTCTGTAAGGTTTATCTATCACGTGACGGTCGACGAGTTATTAATCACTCTTTTAGGATAAACATACCGCAGAGTAGGTTCAATTAGGTTCTTTCGAGTTCAAAAACTAATTTCACTCCTAGTGATCTCATTGGTCGTGTTGAGATTCCAGTCAAAGAGTTGATGGCGAAACCAAACAAGATGTTTGACAGAGCCGACAAGCTCGTTGGATTTGAAAACGCCACGGCCATGTTGGGTATACTACAGTAAGTCAAGCACTACTATGTGTTCTGAGAGTTTGCTAATTCTCTGGATGTTAGCTGGAGTATTGGATATTTCGACAAGGTTCCATTGAACCGTGCTCTGGAGAGACCACCAGAGAATCCCCAGCCTGCCAAGAAACCTGCTGCCGGTTTGTCACTTCATCTCGTTATTCGAACACATCCTCATAACTTACCACACAGCGATGGAGATGCACCCGAGAGACAAGGGACCTCGTCCTGCTGCTACCGACCCACCACCGCCAGCCCCTGATGTGCAACGTACACCTCCAGACCCCAAGTACCCATC